TTCATGTTGACTTTGGGAAAAAAAAAAATAATAATTGTCATCCAGTCAGATGGACTGATTGTAATAGTTTTGTTTTAAGTCCTTGTTCATTGTGCGAGTCTCAGTTTGTTGAATCGGTAACAAACAAGCGCTTCTTGTGTAGGATGTTCTGTTCTGAGGAAACGGGGACACCCTGATTCGTTCCTTTTCATTTTTTGACCTCTTTCAGCAGGCGCCAATCAGCCCACAGACATCTATTCACCATAATTACATGCTGTGTTTATCTATGTAGCTCATGCTCCAGGATCAATTCCATTTTCAGCGGCGGGTTTTGCAGAATTATAGCTTGATAATAATGAGAGAGACAGCCATTGCCTAGCACATCAGAAGCAAGAAACCGCCCATACGTCCATCGATCCATCCATCTATATGAGGCTTTATTGTTCTGACTTGACAAGATCAAAGCAGCTCTCGTTTGAACTAGAATGATCAGCATACTGAACCTACACATGTTTGCTGGTTTATTATTCACACCTGTAACCATTGGGATTTTGAAAGCTCTGCAATGATGTTCTGGTTCAGTTTAGTCCACCAGCAGTGCCACAATTTCTTTTTTAGGGAGGGACGCAGTACCTTTTAAAACTTTTATTCCCTGCTTAAGCAGAATCAAGCTACCTAATTATCTCTGAAATGACAAATAAGTGGTGGATGGCGAGGCGCTCTGTTTGCGCTCATGAATGGCTGTATCGGTTTGTTTTAGAATAAAGGATTGTGGGTAGAGTTGCCTCAGGCTGGCGCCACAGTGGGTCCACATCTCTCAATTATCTCTCACACGGAGAACTAAAAATGGCCGTTTTCTTTTTGCAGTTTGCAGACGCAGACTCAGGGGGCAAACACATGAGATGCATCTTTGCATTCCAAAACAGCTAGAATGCAACAGAATCCCAGCTAACAGGAACATTCTCAGAACTTTGGCTTCAAAGAACGTTCAAAAGTAACAATTATCAAATTGAATTTTCTCCCAAAGGAATATTTCACACACACACACACACACACACAAATGAAAATCTACGAAAATATACTCACCCTAAGGTCATTCAAGAACAGTTTTGAGAAATGTAGCATTAGCTCACTTTTTCACCAATGGAACTGTGACATGTTTGGACTCTCATTCTGATGGCACTGCAGAGCATCCACTGGTGAGCAAGTAATGTAAAGCTAAATTTCTAAATCTAAAGCTAAATCTATTTTAATGGGAACCTTATAAAAAAAATTATTAGGATGTATTTTTGTTAGCTCGAATGTTCCTGAGATACGTTTTAAAAAGTTTAACTACTTTTATCTTTACACACTGTATTAAAATAACACGCTCATGGCGTGAAACGCTGAAAAAAAATTTTTTTTTACACATTTTATGGTTACTTTTTAAACATATACTTCAGTTCTTACATATATGTTAAAATATCATTCTCATGGCGTGAAATGCTGAATGCATTTAACTCTATGCATACGCAAGTTTTCACATTAAAACTAAGAATATTTTGGCCTTTAATAAAGGCAAATTATGAATGTTAAATGTAATGCAATGTTATTATGAAATGACATGATATGTGACATTTACAAGTTCATGATAGTTTAGAGCTTAGGTTCTTTGCTGTTTGCATAAGGTTTGTTTTATTCAGCATTAACACCTGGCCTGTTTTCATCAGGAAACAAACAAAAAAAAAAAGAGACAAAGACAGATAATACTGTACATTTGCAGTTCAAATAACATATGGCTGACACAGATTAGGTGAAACCCATGCACGCAAGTTGGAAACCGGCACTCCAATTAGCTTAAACATCTGGCAAGATCTATGTTCCACAATAGAGTTTGTTCTTATCACTTAGACTAGAGAATCAAGTATTAAAATGGCTTGTTTTTTGAAGAAAGATTCATCAGTGAAAATGTCAAAAAGAGCATATTTTCAGTGATTCAGGACATTCGGCTTCTGTTGAAGATCCAAGTTCATGTTTTTTGATGTAACCCTAAATGAAAATTTGTACTCACCTTCAGGACATCCAAGATGTAGTTGGGTATTTTTCTTCTTTGGAACAGATTTGGAGAAATGTAGCATTCCATCACTTGCTCACCGATGGATCCTCTGCAGCGAATGTGTGCCGTCAGAATTGAGAGTCCAAACAGCTGAGAAAAACATCACAATAATCCACACAACTCCAGTCCATCAATTAACGTCTTGTGAAGTGAAAAACTGGAGTTCGTGAGTTCGTCCAGAAGCGACGGTTTAGAGTCCAGAAAAGAATCCATAATCCATAATAACGCATCCTCCAGTGAAAAAGTCTACCCACGTTGTCTTCTCACATCAAAATACACCAACATTACAACAGCTTTAGACAATTTTTGCTTTTAAATGCTGCTTGATCTGTGCATATTTCTCTCCTGATTCAGACGAGAACTTATTAAGAAAATATTAAATATCCTAAATATCCCGTATCCTAAATATTAAGGATACTGGACTCATATTCAGCTCGAAGTGACAGTTTGATGTTAAAAACGTCTTAATGAAGGAATTGTTTCTTGCAAACATTCAGCTTTCTGCTTCACAGGATGCTAATTGATGGAATGGAATGGTGTGGATTATTGTGATGTTTTTATCAGCTGTTTGGAGTCTCATTCTGACGGCACCCATTCACTGCAGAGCATCCATTGGTGAGCAAGTGATGCTATATTTCTCCAAATCTGTTCCCATGAATAAACAAACTCATCCACATCTTGGTTAACCTGAGGGCAAGCAAATTTTCAGCTAATTTTTCATTTGTGGGTGAACTGTTCCTTTAAAACTTTGCAGTCAATTTTTCTTAAGCATCTTTTCCATGTGAGTTTTTACCTAGCTATAATGGTAAACAGCTTCTGGTGATAATCACGACAATGTATGGCAATTCAGTTCTGGTCAATACAAAGCAGAGGTTTGGTGATGAAAAATCAAGGATATACTAGAGACAGACAATTCTCTAAAAAGCTTCTGAGCTCGGTACGGGTTTCAGTCAATAGCAAGGTGTAAATGTGAAGTATTGTTCAACAAGATATCTGTCACCGTAATAACAGCTTATTATTTTCTAATGGTCATTGTGACCTTCAGCGTATCCGAACCTCTTTTTGTCACTGCCTAGAGGTCATTGATGTCTATTGATCTGAATCCCTCAAGGCTTTCGACTGACCCTGACAAGATGACAGACATAACCCGTTAATTTGATGCTATTGGGATGTTGAGAAAGTGTAGAACCTCTTTAACTAGCAAATCCATCTTGACACAAGGGTTAGGACATGTGCGTGCAATCTAATTTATAATGGAATCCCAGGTTTGGTTTGGTTTCCATTTATACCAAGGATGTCTAGTTAACCATTAGCTTCTCAACAGCCCAGCGAATAACTAGCGACTTCTGAGATGTAAAGTCAAAGGCAGCAAAAATGAAAAGTACCGTCCTACAAGTTGTTGTTTTTTTTCTCTAAGGAGGTCTTCAAGACGTCAATCAATCGTCCTGCAAGTAAATATCATCTACATAATGAGATCCACTCATCACAGATTGAAATCAAGTCCCAGAAGGCATTTTTCAAGCTCAGCGAAAAGATCTAATGCCGCTTTTGGATGGGCTGAAATTTTCCCGAGCTAGTTTTCCTGTTCTGTCAGGCACCCGTTCCTTCCTCATAGGACTAGGGCCATTTATGATTAAGTTGTCTCAAAAATACACATATTTGAGTTAGCCACGGTTGATGGGACAGAAAAGCCTACTAAGCCAGCTGTAGTATGTTTAATGAAAGCCGTTATAGTGGGAAGACAGACTATAAGAGTGTCCCTGAGGAACCAGGACTGGCATCTAAGGGTGGGTGTCAGATCTGGACGACAGCAGAGCTAATTGGAGAGAAATTGCTAAGAATATTGCATGAACTCCATCGGCGTCCCATGAGATCCTCCACTGGTGGGTCGAGGAATAGCGGGTCTTAATAGAACTGTCACGGCTTTTCCTCACAGTTTAAGGTGAGGCTAAAGTCTGACCACTGTCATTATTAAGACATCTAAGGTACGCTTAGCCCTCGGTCAGCTCGGTTGATTTTGTGTGTGTGGAATACATTTTCCATCAATACATAATGAATTAGCTTGACTCAGTGACATTTATTAAGAGAAAAGGCATTTAGTCAAAAATTTCCTACAGATTTGTCACAACAATGACTCTATTAATCTATGTCTGTTAGCGCTGGGGCTAATCTACGTGCTAATGTATTCCTAACCATTGACAAATTTCACTTTTAGAAGATGTATGCTTTTAAAAATGACTCTTCTGGGGAAACAAAGCAAAAATATTGACGACGACTCTTGCGAATTAAATGCGAATGTGGCTAGCAGTTGGCAAACCGTTATTCAGCCTTGCGTCTAGAAAACGAATCATTCACTATGCCTCATCCAACTTCCTGTTTCAGTAGAAAATGTGTCAACGCTTAAACTGTAGCTTTTACTCCACCAGCTAATTGCAAAAAAAGTAGTTAGCTATACTACAAACTATGCACAAAAGTAGCTTAAATCGCTACAGCATGGCTGTTTAAAAGGGTAAATACCAATTTAAGTGTTTTTAAACATTTTTAAATATGTATTTATTCATTTGTACTCTCTAACACTGAGCAAAAACTGTGAATAAATCTCTTTAAACCGCTAAGTTGAAGATAGCAAAACTGTGACAACATCAGAGACCGAAGTAAGATAAGCACCTAGAATTGCAGGCATTACTCTTCACAGCTTTAAAGATAGCGCCCAAAAGATTTGTCAAATGAAAGATTGTTCCTAAAGTGTGCGATAGCTTCAAATGTTTTTGTTGTTTTGTTGCTTTACCTCACATATTTCTTCAAAAGCTTCCAGAGTCGACTCTGTTTCTTTGTGTTTATGCTCTCCTACGAGAGCATTTAGGCACACGTCTCACTACAAAGTCTTCGCTCTATTTTGACTTTTTGTTTTGTTTCTTCCTTCCAGGGCAAGAGCGAATAGGGACAGACTCCAGATACGAACAAGAAGGGAAGGTGCAGTTTGTGATAGACGCGGTGTATGCCATGGCTCATGCCCTGCACAGCATGCAGAAGGACCTTTGTCCTGACCAATCGGGCATTTGTGGGGAGATGGAGCACGCTGGTGGCAAGAAGCTTCTCAAGTACATCCGATCGGTCAGCTTCAACGGTGAGTCCACCGAAGCTCACAATATCAGATAAATGCCATATTCAGTCAATGTCATCTTACTAATATTAATTCAGCTACACTTCATTTTAAGGGGATGTTATTACAGTGTAATTACACAATAACTACTGCGTAACAGTAATTAACTACAAGTACTTACTATTTAGGATTTGGGTTTGGTTTAGGGTTAGATACTTGCAATTATGCATAATTTACTGTTATTACTATAGTAAGTTCATGTAATTATGTAACATTCAAATAAAGTAATTCAAAAATCTATACAAAAATGCAATTCTTAGATACAGTGACTGAGTACAGAGTTTAGCATGCTTTAATTTGTGAAAATGTTTATATTTTTGGCTGGGAAGGTAAAAAAGAAAAAAAAACATAAAAGTAGTTAGTTTTGAAAAATTTGAATTAAAATAATTGCTTATTGATATTTGAAAAGCTTTTGTCTGCCCATATCATGTGGTGCGACCTAAATAAATAAATAAATAAATAAATAAGTGATATCATAGAGAGGACACTTGTAGACCTTCATAATAAAATATTAATACTTTGACCTTTTTTATGACATAAAATGGTTGTAAAATGTCATGCGGTGCAACTGATACATGTTATTATGTAATTATATATGTTATGTACCTATTTAATTAAGAAATAATTACGTACACTTTCATGGTTTCATGGTATATATATATATATATATATATATATACTGTATATATATATACTGTGTGTATATATACCAGGGGTGTGGACTCGAGTCACTTGACTCGAGACTTGACTCGGACTCGAGTCCCAAATTTGATGACTTGCGACTCGACTCGACATAATTAAAGAAGACTTGAGACTCGACTTAGACTTTGACATCAAGGACTTGAGACTTGACTTGGACTTGAGCCCTGTGACTCGGAAAGACTTTATGATCAGATCAAAGTCATTATAGACGCGTCCCTGCAGCGTTGCGCTTGACTGGCAATAAGCCAGAAACTGTGTTCAGGGAGCGCTGGATAGGCTAGTATAAATTTATGGAGTAATAGCATAACTTACGACAAAAGAACAGAGATAATAAAATAACTTCTGTTTGTCCGACACCGAGGTGCACCATGAGTGAAGGATCCGCATCCCGCCACGACCCTCGCACTCTGCCAACTCGATGTGCTTTCATTTTAATTTGTATTTGTAATAAACACCTCTCTGAGACCTGTTTTTGTCAGATCTCCACTGTTTTTGTTTTATTTAAACCTCAATTAACCCTTAAATGCATTAATGTTTCACCAATCATTATTACATATTCGGGTCTTTAGCGACCCGGACCTATACAGTATATACAGCACGGATGGATCTTTAACTGCTACAATAGCAATTTTTTTTATATTATACTCTCTTGATATTTTAAGAACAATTACAGAAGAATAAAATAAAGCATATTTCGTTACCTTTTGAAACTTAAAAGGGTTCAATTTGAGCAGATCTTAGTTATAAAGGATGGTAGCACAGCATTTTTGAATGATTGTCTTCATGAGTTTGTCTGCATCCATATTGCATGTTTCCTCTCACTTGCAAAGTATGCTTGCAGTTATTTCTTCTAGTTCTTTCGAAGCAGTTCTTTCTGCGTTTCCGCTCACGTATTTTTAAATCTGTTTCTTTGAGGTTCCAAATAATGGCTCATTGGCTTAGATATAACACCTAGAAGCATATAGCTATTCTTATGCACTCATGCAAAGTATGTTGCAGCTGTTATTTCTATGAAATTATGTTGTCTTTGCTATTCTATTTTGGCACAATCCCTAAATTGAACTTGAGTAGTTTTACTAAGGGCACCAATCTCACATGAAATTGAACGATGTCAAACATATTCTACCTGCCTTCCTGATATAAATTACTATGAATTTGATATGGTAATTAATACTGAGACACTAATTTGGGCAAAGAGCACTAATGACTTGTTTAAGACTTGAATCTTAAAGCTGAGGACTTGCAACTCGACTTGGACTTGCCTGTCTTGACTCGGGACTTGACTCGAGACTTGAATGCAAAGACTCGAGACTTACTTGTGACTTGCAAAACAATGACTTGGTCCCACCTCTGATATATAAAAACAATGGTGGTAAAATAATTTCACTCAGAAGTTGCTAGTAAATTTCACAAATAATTACAAAGAAATGGCAAGTAACACGTTTAATTAAGCATGACATTTCAAAGTAGAAAAAAAATACATATTTATATATAAATGATAATTTTGTACAGTGTATTTTGACAGACTTTACAAACTGGTTTGGACAATACTGAGCAAGTTTCTTCTGTTCCAGTGGACACACACACCATATGTACATTCCTCTTTGAAGCAACCTTTGTTGCTGCTTCTTGCGCAGGACTCCCAACTCTCTAAATACTTTATATCTCGCATATCCCAAACCTGCCTTTGTGTTGGACCTTTGAAATAGGAACTTCCAAGAAGAAAGGAAATCTCTCATTAATGCATCTTAATGAAGTGAAACTTGTGTAGTCCTGCACCAGGGCACTGTTAGATCAAAGTGCAACCGCACCTTTGATGTCTGTGTGATGATGAGAAAATACTCTTTGGGGTAAATATATGATCTAACTTAAGGCCTGGTGAACGATACTCCAAATAGACTCGACAAAATGCTTGCTTTTAATTACCAAAATACAAAGACAGGTGGCTAAATGCTAATGAAGATATCTGCAAGAATTTTATGCCACCAAACAATGTGAATTATTTATTTATTTATTCATTTATTTTAAGAATAACACTGAAACATACAATTTTACAAATTTAACTTGCATTGTTATTTTTTTTATTATAATGAAATCTTTTACAAATTGCATCTCTTCAATATTCTAGGAACTGTAAGCAATTCATTTTATTTACAATTTGTGCAAATTTGAAGTTTGTTTTAAAAAAACGTTGTTTTATGAACCGCCATAGTTGTTTGTTTCGTAAAGATATGCTTACGTTTTCGTGAAGTACCTAATATTAACAGATCACACTGCACATAAATGCCAAACAACAGCATATTATCTTTTGTAGATTATAACAAGCTTTTGATCTAATGTTTACCATTGCTGAAAAGTCTTTTATGATGAGCACCCAATTCAATCCAATTGGCGTAAAAACACAAAAGAACATGAAAACATCTTGAAATAATATTACTTCAGCTGTCGCTAATTTGTTTTCTGTAGTGTTCTTATAAAGTAAACAGCCACGTCCAAACATCATAAGCCAGCTTATGGAAATATATCAAAGCTAGTTAATAACAAGAAAAAAAGAAGAAGAAGAAAAAAAAACACGTGATTTGCTGTGCTTTAAGGCTGTAATGTTATATATATATA